CTCTACCCATTAGTAGACCACTTTATGGGCAAAGTTTCAGCTTAAAATACAATACTTCGAATTTTTACTATATACCATACTCCACAGGAAAATTTCAGTAAAATGCCTATAATTCCAAGAAGAAGCTCTATGGGAACGTGTCCTTTTGTGGTTTTGCATACCTCACTGGGGTCTACCTTATGCATATAGACTGAGCTCAAAAGCGATTAATCAGTTGCATCGGTTCCCTCGCCAGTCAAAGCCGTTGAGTCCGAAATTTTTATCAAGAATATTTATGTTAGGATGTGTAGACTAAGCATCTGCAAAGTTAATTCTTTTTTATCCCCATTCTGGTGAAAAAAATGCTTTAGTTCCAGTCCCGTTCTGGACTCGATGTCAATTAAAAATTGTATTATGGTCAAAAAATTTCAATTTTCGAAACTGAAACGAGAATCGATGAAATTTTTTTATCAAAACTATAAAGAAAATTGCTGTTTTTTAGATTTCTGACCACAAAAATATCAAAATCTATTAAGAAACGATGCTTTATAGTAAAGAAAACATTTTTCAACATAATGAAACATCTTTAGACTTTTCATGACCTTTCTTCATTCAATTAATCAAAGCCTCAAGACATTTGATAGGTGGCTAACTCTGGATCGTTGACTGGATGATAACACAAGATGAATGTGATCGTATACCATAGTTTATTCGAAAGAAAGTGAATGCTATATATAGGATCAAGACCAGCCGTATGGATGGAAATATCCATCGGCTGAACGAGATGACAAGTGAGAGAAATCCCATGAATCACAATAGACAGAAGAGGAGAACACATAGTGAAGAAAGGAAAAAGACCAAACATATATGATGGGTGAACATAGAAGGAAAGAGAAAATATCATATGGGCGTGGCCAACCGACCTGATACCCCATAGGAAATAATATTATTCCAGAGAGAGTATATAATGAATTTTATACCAAATGAAAGCTCGTCAAAAATGGGATTTATTGGTACTAAATAGTAAGGGTTTTGTGAACTTTGTAATATCGAACTTAAGAAATTTTGAGAAATATCATACGTTTTTGGCATAGAAAACTAAGATGTCAAGAATTTCGATAGAGCTCATCGAACGCTACAAAACTGTATGTATTGAAGTTTTCTTACGCCATTTTTCAAAAAATAATACAGTTTTGTGGGGTTTGACAAGCTCTATCGAATCATGTAAAAATATTCCAGAAAAAAATTTTTACTACATTTTTGAATTACTGAGATTTTAGTTTTCTATGCCAAAAACGTATGAAATTTCTCAAAATTTCTTAAGTTCGATATTACAAAGTTCACAAAACCCTTACTATTTAGTACCAATAAATCCCATTTTTGACGAGCTTTCATTTGGTATAAAATTCATTATATACTCTCTCTGGAATCATATTATTTCCTATGGGGTATCAGGTCGGTTGGCCACGCCCATATATAATGACGTAATATCGCAGGAAAGGAAAAGACCAACAAACATAAGAAAGAGAACGAAAGGAGAATACCAAGTGAAGAACGAAAGTGAAAAACATCTCTATAGATGAAAGAGAGAAACATAAGCGGGCTCCATCTGAAGAAGTGTCGATACCACCTCCTAACACATTTCTCTAACATTTTTAAAAATTTCAACAATTTTGCCATGTTTGTCTCTTTATAGTCGTTTGTGTATTAGCTGCAATTCGATGAAGGAAAATTATGAGGTGCTTAAAGACATCTTACTTTACTCGAAGATTTTTGCTCTATGAAAAAATACAGTTTTTAATAGCTTCGTCAAACTATTACCGTTGAGAAATGGTGAAACTAAGATTTTGAGTTAGAAGAACTCAGCCTCTCTACAGGCCTTTGAGCTAGGGAACTGCAAAATCACGTTTTTTTGGTCCCAGTCTCGGTCTCGGTCAAAATTTTTTTCAGTTTCGGTCTCATTCCGGTTCCGATAAAAGTCAAAATTTTGGTCTCAGGATCATTTTGCAGTTCCTTACTTTGAGCTCTTTTTAACAAATAAAATATACATGTTCAAAAATTTTGCTACAAAACTGAATCTCTCCATATTCCTGTTTAATTTTCTTACTACCGTGGGGAAAAAACACATAAATCTTGTCCATCGCTACACGCATTATTAGTTAATTATAAACGATCATATTGTTCAACCTAAGTTTTGTTTATCAATAACTATCTTTTTCACATATTGTTCAATGAAAATCTTTTTGATATTCTTACTTGTACATTAAGAGTATTTTCAACTTCAATAAATAAGACTAAAATCAAATGAATCTAAACTAAATCTAAGTACATCATATATAAATTTTTCAATCCATTTTGTTTAATCCATAACAGGTGAACGTATTAATGTATATTCATCTTCGATCATTTGTAAATAGAAATTTTTAAGAAAACAAAGTATTTTTTCTGTCTACAATAGATAAAAATATTGTTTTTAAAAGAAAGAAACTATTTTAAATACTTGAATTACTGTTAAACGTGTTGAAATTTTACCAAGTAAAATTTCCATTTGCCATACATATTCAAGTGTTTTACGTTCCAGTGGTAAACCTTCATGTGAAAGTATTGCATGACCACGAATTATTAAACCAAATAATTGAAGACTTCCTGTTGATAAATGTTGATCAGATTTATTACTCTATATAATTAATAATAAGAATATTTTGTCATAAATTAGTATCAATACTTACAATAACTGTATCTTCAACATAAATATTAATAGGTAAAGAAAAATACTTGTAATCTTGTTTCATCTGAATCTGTTATCATTTCAACACAAAATCTTTCGCAAAAACCAATTGGACATGGTTCATTATCTGTATGCTTAATAAAAAAGAGAAAAATAATAGAAAATAAATTTAGTCGTTTTATTTTAATAAAAAATTAAATATACATGAAGAAGATGAACTGTTACATTATGAAGTGCAACACGTCAAATAACCATTAATGGTCAAAAATATCTTGGATTAAATGGCTTATTTCTATCAATTATATCAATAAGTGGATCATCATTTATAAATCACATAGTAATTCTGGTTCATATATATCATGATACATTTGATCCCAACCAAATAGATTTTTCTTGACAAAAACAAAAACAACAAATTTAATTCTTTTATGAAAATAATAAATTTTTAACTTACTTTAACCCACCAAAGTTTTTTTTAAAAATAAACGATGTAAAAGTAAATTAACAGAACCAATATCAATTTCAATATTAAATATATCATAACGAAGTTTATTTAGATGAAATGTTTGTCGATTATCTAATGATTTTACATATTGAACATATAATAAATCTAATTGAATAAATATAAAGTAGAACTTATTTATAAAAAAAGATTTGTTTTACCATTTCGATTCATATCAATTGGAGGTGATAAATAAAGTAGAATTTGTACAAGGATTTTCAAATGATTTATTTCACCATAATCAAAACAATCATTTTTGTAATTAAAGAAATGAATAACAAGTAAGGAAGTGCATACATTTTGAAAAACAAATCTTATTCTTTTCTAAAAACATTCAAATCGTGCAAAATCTTCTTTATATTATCGTTTATCAAATGTATCAGATAATGATATTTGTAATTTAATTCCATCTAGTTCATAAAATCTTTTATGTGCATCAATTCTTTTCACAATATAATACATTCGATTACTTTCTGGTATAACCAAACGAACAAGAACATCATTAATCTAATATAAACAAAAAAGAAAAAGAAAAATTTTCCATTTTATCATTTCAACAAAACAAACTTTAATCGTTAAATCCATTGGTGTAGCTTCTGGACAAAATTGTAAAAATGATAATGAATAATTCAATAACAGTGATTTAGCACATAAAGATATATAATCTTCAATGAAAAAACAAATGTATTTAATTTTACAAAAAGCAAAATTAATTTACTATTTTCTACTGTTTATTCATTTTTTGTATCTTCTACAATCAATCCAATTTTCTTGATTACATGGAATTAATAATTCAACTAAATCATTATGTAAAGTTATATTATAAATAAATGGTGTAAAAGAATAAATATACGTTGATACAGCTGGAGATCAATCATTAATTAAAGCTATAAATTATTAATAGTAAAAAACACTAGTTTATAAGTTTTTCTACTTATTAAAACATAATTTTACCTTGTAGAAAATTTTTATGTTCAAAAACAAAATACACTTGAGCTTTTGTTGTATCAATATTAATAAACCATTCTTGTAATGAATTCCATAAACGTGGATAATGAATATGAACTTTAATCTAAATAAAAAAAAAAGTTAATTCGATTTTTTTTTCGTTGATTTTATTTTTACATTAAGTTTTTCAGCTTGAAGAAATGGTGAAAATGAAAGATTAGTATGAGCTATTGTTTTAAATAAATTTATTGATAAATTTGTATTAGGTTGGTAAGAAATTTTTTGCGTTTTTTTTTTAATTTTATTTTTATTTTTTAACTTCAAAAATATAACTAACTTTCATCGACATATGCTGCACTATTATCTATGATCTGTCGCCAACGCTGCGGTAAAGAAAGGATCCCGTGCTCATAGAAGTCCTGGGACTTCTGACCAAAGTAGTTGAGCAGATCCATTTTTAGGTCATTCTCGTCGTCGAATTTTTTTTCACGTAAATAATTCGATAAAAAATGAAACAAGTGGTAGTCCGTAGGAGCCAAGTCTGGAGAGTAAGGTGGATGTGGAACCATAATTCATCCGAGCTGCAATAATTTATCACGCGTTGATTTTGCAATGTGAGGTCTGGCGTTGTCATGCAAAAAATAAACTCTGTCTTGCTTCCCTTGGAGTTTAGTTGCTACTCTGTCCAATTGCTGACAATAGATATGAGCAGTGAGGGTGCAACCAGTTGGAAGGAGTTCCCACTGAATAATTCCTTTAACACTCCACCAAACACTTAACATAATCTTCTTTGGATGAAGGTCACCTTTGGGCGTTGCTACACCTGTTTCTCCCGCTTCCAGCCACTGTCGCTTGTGCGTGTGGTTAACATATAATACCCACTTCGCATCCCCAGTAATAAGATTGTGGAGCCATTGGTAGTTGCGATGAGAGGTCATTAATTCCATACAAGCGTCAACCCTATGTTGAAACTGATGTGGTGACAACTCATGTGGTATCCAAACACCATATTTCCACGTTTTGCCTAATTCATGGAGATGTGTTTCCACTGTAACATGGGAGCACCCAAGTCGCTCTGCTAAACATCTTGTTGTCAGTCGAGGATCTTCTTCGATAAGCTGCTTTAATTCGTCCATATCCACCTGCATCGGTTTTCCAGTATGAGGTAAATCATCGAGTCTGAAGTTGCCGTTCTTGAACCTATGGAACCAATGTTGCGCTGTACGAACGGACACTGCATCCTTACCCATCATGCTGGATATGTTGCTCGTTGCTTCCGTTGCTTTATGACCCAAACGGAATTCATGAAGCAGAAGCACTCTTAGCTCTTGTCGAGATATATTCGCTTCTACTTCGAGATCGACGTCCATATTCTTGATTTTATTATCATTCGAAAGACACTCATACCCCCTTTATATACCCTTAATATGGAATCTTCTCGAACTTTCTCGACTGTTCTAAAAAATTCTGAAAAAAAATGCAAAAAATTTCTTACCAACCTAATATTAACATCATCAACATTGATTGTATATGGAAATATTTCAACAAAATATGAACCTTTTAATGGAACTTCTACATGAATTTGTTGAAGTTTCTATAGAAAAGAAAAACCAATGAATGCAAAATATAAAAAGAATTAAATAAAACCATTTTTCTATTTGATAAAATACAGATCGAATATAATTGAACAATTAAATGATAATTTAAATCGAACATTTTTAAATATTTGTGTTTGACCAATTGATGGTTCAAATGTTATTGGAAAATCTTCATATAATGTTGGTAAAAAATATTACCAAAGTAATTCTTTTTATTGAAATAAAAAAATATTATATGTTTAAAAATATTTATTTAAAATTACCTTTCCCGATCTGTCCATGGTCCATATGCAATTTTTGTATCTTTATCACATTTAATATGAATTTTCCAAGCTAAACCAGGATTGTTTCATCGTTTACTAATGGTTCAATTAGTTTATCTTGAAAAAAAAAGCAAAGATTCAAATAACAATAAATATTTTATAAAATAATAAAAGTTTTACCAGGTATATCTTGTTCATATTCGATGTACACATCTAAAAACACAAATATAACTGCTACATATAAATGCTCTTAAGATATCGAGGCTAACGTCAAACATTATATTTTTACATTTCGTTTCAGACATTTTATACATAATCAAAAAACTAAATTTAATTAAATTATATTTGAAATATATGTGAAAATATAGGATAAGATATTGAATGGATAGGGTGTGGGTGTGGGTGTGGGTGTGGGTGTGGGTGTGGCTATTGGTTTCTCATCATCCATACCTCACACCCACCCCACACCCACACTCCACACCCACACCCACACCCACACCCACACCCACACCCACACCCACACCCACACCCACGCCCTTACTTTCACTAAAGTAGCTATTATCAGAAGACTCACTATTAGAAACAATTATCTTATGAATTGATTGACGTTTAATTCATCGAATACAACGCCGCTGGTTTACTTTATAAGAAAATCGATACATTTATTCTAAAGGCAAATAAAAGATGATTATTATCCTAAAACCGAGGATCTAAGATAAGGTTGGAACAATTTTCAATATTATTCACGAATTCTATGAATCATGATTAATCCAATCAATCAGATTATTAACCATATTAAGTCGAAAGTGAACATCCAATTAATTATTTTTTTTAAAGTTGAACTAGTGGCTTCAGTTTTTTTATCGCTATAACGCCACATAGAGCGCTATTATAGTTATGATACTTAGCGTCGCTATATCGTTAGAGTAGTTACGGTGATAGCGCCGCCATATTGCTAGATAACGCCGCTATATGGCGTTTTGACGCTATAGCGACGCTAGTGTAAAAAAAGGACGACATGGGAAAGCACTTAAAAAACATTCAGATTGAGGAATAAAATCATTGATTATTTGTCAAATACTGAATGATTGAAAGATGTTGATCATTTGTATCAATATTTTTACTTCCATTTATTCATTGATGATGATTGAAATTCTTAAAAGTAGTTATCAAGCTGATGGGAATTTTGATAAGCTTCCTTTTATGGAACTTTGAAAGTAGCTCGTATTCTGTGCATGACTTTGTATTCTATTAGTTGGATTAAGACTCTATGAAGTCGATTATCATTGCAAGTTGCAAGATTTTAAACGCACTAGTCGCTTCATGGCAACACATACACTATATTAGTCATCCTATGTCATTGCGTCATGGAACTGTGAATCTTTACATACATTTTTCTTCAACCGTTGACGTCATCGCAACGTCGCAAGAGTGTGCACTCGATGTTTTTTTTTTCTTTATTCTTTTGTAATATATGTTAAAAAGCAAGACCATGTGAGAAAATGAATAAAATAATGACGCAGACAAACGTAAAAGAGTAGCTTTTTTTTACAGTATAAGAGAGCGAAGAAATGTAGAAGGTGCAAACAGTTTTTTTTAACAACAAAAGATGGCAGAACATGTTTGAGTGCATTTAACATTTTAAATCTTACATTTCTACCAATCCCCTTGTATTCTAGCCATTAAACAAACCCGTTTTATCTACAAACTTGATCACTACAGCAAAAAAGCAGCATGAGCCTACGACTAATCATAGTTCTCATTTGCCATGTAAGTTATCAGAAGCAATACTGAAATGAATTTTCGATATTATTTTGATCCGGCTATTTTAGCAAGTCCAATCAACGTTATTGCATCAAACACAACAACGAATAATCAGGGTAAGAAAATACAATTTTTTTTTATACGTAGTTTATTGCTCGAAAAGGTTAGTAAAATGATAAAAACAGAGATGCTTAATTTATAAAAAAAAAAAACAATATTCTGTTCATTTTACTCATTGATTGCTGTGAGTGAAAAGTTTTCAACGTATTTGAGTATCTCGATAATGATGATAGAAAAATACCAAATCTCGTCTGGTTCACATCAGCATAATGAAGAGAAAAAAGGAAATCGAAGATTTTGATGGATTTATTTTTCTTTTCATCCAATTCAATAGACATGAACCACGAGAACGACGGCATTGGAGTTTGTGGGTGGATTCTAGTGATCTTATCCTATATCGTCGTTATACTTACTTTTCCATTTTCATTGTGTTTCACAATAAAGGTGAATTGACTTGAATGGTGTCTGCGAATGATTTCCCTAACCAATAAAAATTCTTGCTAGGTTGTACAAGAATATGAACGGGTGGTTATTATGCGACTTGGCCGAATTAGTTCTGGTAAAATACGATACTGAAACAAAAAAAACATTAATATTAAAAATAAGGATTTTTAATTTGCTAGATGGTGCCAAAGGTCCCGGTCTATTTTTTATTTTGCCTTGCGTGGACTTGATTACAAAAGTTGACTTACGTACTGGTTAGTAGAATTGATACAGGAGAAATTAAAGTGATCCATTTTTGGCAAATAAATATTTTTTTGTGTCTTTCTTTTTTAGTCACCTTCGATGTACCGCCTCAAGAAATACTGACACGTGACTCTGTGGTAAGTAGATTCGATCGAACTCAACGATTCTGAAAATCTATATGAAATCTCTTTTCCAAGACTGTATCAGTCGATGCTGTAGTCTACTTTCGAATTTGTAATCCAACTATCAGTGTGACGAATGTGGCAAATTCACGTGTGGCAACTCAATTGCTAGCAGCTACGACTCTACGTAACGTTTTGTGAGTAGAAACCGATCGATATCATGATACATGCTTTAAAGCAAAAGATAGATTGTTATGTTTTCATCAACTATCGTTATGCAAGATATTAAGCTTTGGTTTTCACCATTATATAAGCGATGTTCTTGCTATCGATCTATATAAGATATCTTACGAAGAAAAATTTTTTTTTCACTGGACCTGTTTGATTGACATGCTATCCAGTGTGCACATGTTCATTAATTCTCTTGATAGTTTATGGTCAAATTACGACAACACGTATCATTAATGATCATTGTTACGGTGATGTTTGTGATTTTGAGCCCATTTGAAGCACTCTAGCCAGCATGTTATCTGCTCAATTTTTCATGATATCCCATCATAGATTTGATCGTGCAAATATTATAATATTCAGACAAGAATTCTGAATATTATTATTTTCGTGCAATTTAGTGCAGAATGAAATTTCGCCAAAAAATTGAACAGAGGCTATACCAGTTAAATGACATGTTTTTACGACTGAAAAAAACAATAGAAAACTAGATGCCGTTACATAAAATATATAAGCATATAAAAGATTTCAAATTTTATGAAATTTTCAAAGAGCCAAAAAATGACCGGCTTTTTGTCATTAAAATTTTCGATGGTGAAAAATGTATAAACAGAACAAAAATATGTAGAAAATGAGGTGCAATTTTTTTACCATAAATTTCATGTAAAAGGTTACATGTTTGTTTGCATGAGATGAGACCTATTGGCTATTGAAACACGTGAAGATTTTATAATACAATCTGTTTCCTGATCTGAACAGTGACTATCGCGAAAATTAACAAATATGCATACAACAAAAGACGAATGCCAATGAAAAATTTCCTCAGAAAAAGCCTCTTTTGTCCTAATAAAATGTATGGAGATCGATTGTACAGACATCGTTCTTTTGAAGGATGAAAACTGTAGATCTATATTTCGTACTAATTCAAAGTTATTGAAAGAATATCAAACTGTTTTTTACTGAGAAGTAAGTATAAACTGGTATATATTTGTAGGGGTACCAAGTTACTTCAAGAAATTCTCAGCGATCGTGAAAATATTGCTCATTCTATGCAAACACATCTTGATGAAGGAACTGAACCTTGGGGTATCCAAGTTGAGCGAATAGAAATGTAAGTCTTCTGCAAATGATCGAATTCTTTCGAATCGACAATTTTAGTAAGGATGTTCGACTGCCTGTTAGCATGCAACGTAGCATGGCTGCTGAAGCCGAAGGTAAAGTCTATTTCAATTTTTGAATATTGAAACGAAACATGATAATATGCCATTCTTCTCTAGCTGCACGTGAAGCTCGTGCGAAGTTAATTGCGGCTGAAGGGGAGAAGAATGCATCGCGATCCCTCAAAGTAAAATTTTATTCATCGATCTATAAAAACCAAATTTATATTTTCAATTTTTAGGACGCTGCTGATGTTATCAGTCAGAGTCCAATTGCACTGCAATTACGCTATCTTCAAACATTGACGCAAATTGCGGCCGAGAAAAATTCAACCATCATTTTTCCGATTCCTAGTTCGTGATACGGTTTTCTTTCTTACTTTCTCACTTTTAAACATCTTGCATTCTGATTCTAGTCGAACTTCTCAGATCGATCAAAGCATGACCCATTATTACGAACAGCAACGATTAAAAACACTTGAGCTTTTTTTGTTCAATATTTTGTCAACTTACATCGATTTCCATCGTTATACTGTCAAAAAAAATTTTAAAATGCAATGCATTCACTGAAATTATTTAAAAAAAAAGAATTAAATAACTGTATACGTCGGATTTATATCAAATTTTTACATCTACATGTTCATCAAAGGAGTACTAGAGTTAAACAACTCAAGAAAAGATTATTTATATTGAACAAAATGTGAAGAAGACTTGATAAAATCACTCATTCGATTTTGTGACAAGTCAAAAATGTCATAAAACAGCAATATATCGAAAATTTCGTCAACGATGATGCTGTTTAATAATATTGAATCATTTTTAGTCAGCTCCAATTTGAAAGAGCAGCGCTGTTTCACATTGCTGTTGAATTATTCTTCTACATATCACATATACACTCTAAAAAAGAGGTTTTTTACCGATCCACCGAAAAAAATTCAGTAGAGTTGAAAAAATTTCTAAATGCATCGAGGGTGTGGGTGTCGGCGTAGTTGTGGATATGAATATCAGTTTGGGATCCAACACTCATGCCCATTCTCACGCTAAACTCATTCACAATTGTCCATAGAAAATTTTATTAATTGGATTGCTCAAAAGCAGTGCTCTAATACTGCCTAAAAAACAGTAAAAGCTTAAGTACGATTGCTCTTTCTGTTCTCGGCTTATAGTTATTCTTTTAATGACTTATTTAAAACAGACAGCAGATGGTAGTTAAATATGCCTTTCATCAGAGAAATTCTTATTTTCATAACAGTTTCTTTTTACTGAAATCGGATCCGGGTAGTTACGCTGCATATAAAAACTGACTCTTGTTGTTGTTTGAGTGAAGATAATGGTTGCAAGGAGAGATGTATTCTCTTGCAAAGAATGGAAGAAAAAAGAAATACATATTTAATGTAATTGTGTGTCACCATTGAAAGAGGGTGCAATTGTGGTGAGTGTGGGCTATGGATGACGAGATGAAGCGCATTCCCATCTACACCCTGTTATTTTAGAAAGGGAATTAGAACATGCAGCTCTTCAAATTGTGCTCATTTGTGATTGTGCAAACTCGATTTTTATTGTCATTGATTAAAGAAAGCACTTATATTCATGTAAAAATAAAATTTGAGATGATTTAATTTAGCTTACATTCTCCAAATCAGTTATAGTAGGAGGCATGGCGATTTGTATTATACTTATGTCGTATTTAATGAAGTATGTAGCACTTTTTGATGCATCGATTTTAACATTTGAGCTATCTCTGCATCGCTAAGAGCCAATGCCGACTTCCACATTCGAAATATTTCCTGCTCTGTAAACCGATATGATTCATCGTTTCCTAAAAAAAAGGCGTATGTACTGTACAGAGAGTGTGGGTGTGGGTGTCGGTGGGTTTACGTTTCATTGTGGCCTAAGTGCTGTTTTACATCCACACCCCACCCATACCGACACCCATACCCACACCACCCACACATCCTCTCCAGGAAATATCGAATCTCACATAGGTTACGTAAAGAAGAACGAAAAGAAATGAGAAAGGTTAGCGGCAACTATGTAATATCTGTTGACGCTAACAAGTACATCTATGTTTTAGATGACGATTCAAAGAGAACTGTTAGATTTCTCTATAGTACCTGACTGGAAAAATTCAAGATTTGCATTTCACCAATTAGATGTCAGGCATATTGCTAACTTTTTTCCGTGAGTAGCTTCCGTCATATTCATCTTTGGAAAATCTTATAGATAAAAACAACTATTTGTATTATATTTGCTGCTGAAGATTTCAAAAACTTAAATAAAACTAGAAAAACAAGTCATTTTTGAAGTCTTTTTCTTTTACCAATAATAAACGACCTAATAAACATACAACTAATGCATTTTTATTGTCATTTCGGTCATAAGTGTATCTAATTGTGCGATTTTTTTCTCTTCAGTTCGGTCGTATTCAAGTAAAACTTTTTGCGCTGATTCAAATTGTGCGTAAGCAAGTTTAAAACGTCCAAATTTATGATACATATGACCAACATTTATATAATAATCGACTAATTCCAAGTGATCAGATGTTAAACTTTTCCTCTCAATGTCCAATGCTTGTTGAAAATATTCAAGTGCTTTTACATGATTGCCTTTTTTATCGTAGACAGTGCCAATATCATTTAACGCTGTTCCAATTGAAGGATGGTTTGGAGTTAATGTCTTTCTTCTATTTTCTAAAACCTTTTCAAGCTTTTGCAAAGCTTCTTCTGTATAGCCAGAATTTTCCATAAGCTTGGCCTTGAGACGATCCACGTGAGACTTCAATAATGGGTAATTTGTTGGTAATAAATTGAATTTTTCTCCAGCTTGTGTGTGTTGGTCGTCTGCATTTCGCCAATCGTCTAATGCCAAATGAGCTAAACCAAGATTACAATGAACAGCAATAGCTCGACAACTATTTTGATAACCCAAATGAGAATAAATATCAAGAGCTTTTTCATAAGATTGAATAGATGGATCAAGTTTATTTATATCTTTATATATAAGACCAAGTAAATTGTAAGCATCTCCAATTGCTATATCATTTGGCGGAAGTTTTTGAATCATCCATGTAGCATAACGTTCAGCTTTATCGAATTGATTCATTCGAAAAAGAAACCAACCGAATGCCAAAGGACCTGGTTCTGATTTAAATTGTTCCAACATATGGTCTAACCAATTTTGACCAAGTTTATTTTGTTCTTTACTTAGTTCTAAATAGATATGCCATTTATTATTATGACTTTCTATTGATTTAACTTTGAATATAGCACCCATTGAAAAAAGTACTTCTCTTTCATCTGGATTGCACGCATGATTTTCTATCAAAGCAAATGGTGTCATTTCTCTACTTAAATTATGAACATCAATAATGAAATACACAGATTGTAATGTTGATATTGCATCTAATTGATTAACTGGAGTTGAGTATAGTTCAGCTACCTCGAATTGTAATGTAGCACTTAAGAAGCTATTCATTATAATAAGTTCATTTTGATTCTTTTGAAGTTGTTCAAGTTCTGACATAGTTAAAACTTGACTACGATAAGCTCGGAAATGATGATTTGACTCAGAAAAATGTTTATTGAAATATTCATTATAAAGTTTTTCGATTTGCTTCTGAAGTTCATTGATAAAAAAATCGAAATTTAAATATTATTTCCATATTTTGTGTACGTAATGCTTTATTTAATAAACGATATAGAAAACTATCATATGTATACCACCAAACTGCTTTTTCTGGGGAGTAGTCTTTTTCAAAATCAATTATTTTTTTGTTTTGAGCTTTATTATCATAGTAACATGCTTGACATACCTCAACCATATCATCTTTTGCATTACCATATTTTACCATTGATTGGAGAACTGTAAACATTAAACGATACCATATAGATGTTATACTTTCGTTAGTTAATTCTTGTAATGTTTTATCACGTTCAGAAAGATGAAATATACTCATTGGTATATTACTATCTGTAATATATTTATTGAGATCATTTGAGATTCTAATATATAGTTCTTCTGGTCTTATAAATATACCCAAAACTTTTCCAATTGATTTCGACCATAGTTCTGCTGCTTTTTTGTTTCGACAATAAATATAAATTGCTTGTAGCTGTGATAATTCATGTATTAATGGCACAATATTTCGACCAAATGCATTAGAAGTAATAAGAAATACTTGTTTTTCTATTAATTCTGTGGTTATATCATCAATACATTGATCTGGATCAGCAAATATCTTTAAATGACCTCTACCCACGTGTCGTATACGTCCTCTTATATCTTCACTTTGTTTATCCGTTTCAATAGTATCATCCAACCAAATTATATGGCAACTGTTCATTATTTTATTGACATCATCATTTACCATGTTTTTGCGCACACCTTACTAAAAAAATAAAGTTATGTTGATTTCTGTTCTTTGTGTTTCTTCTTCTATACTTTAGTTCGTTTTCTTCTAAAGGTGAAGGAAACGATAGACGACACGTTTGCAAAGATTATCTCGTTTTTATTTACTCAGCAATGTTGACGTGGCTGTGTTTGGTAGTTTCCAATGCACTTTATGTGTTTGTTGGCCATTAACTTGGAAATTTCCAAATTGAAAGACATTCGATTACATATGCATACATGCTGCTTTTGTATGCATACAATGGGTGTGGGTTCTCACGATCTCTTCAACCACACTGACAACCTTTAATTTTCTTTTGTCAAGGAAAAAGAACATAAAAAGCATACGAAAAACTATGAAATCAAAGTCGGAGACACCTGAGTCATACAACAAAATCTTGATCATTGTGAATCGAAACCATTAACGACTCAACAAATCAAAGAAGGTTCTCAAATGTAGCTCGTTGATCAAATTTATATTTTGGACAATATTACGGCCTTATATTTATAGTCATTTAACTACATTTCAGTGTGCCTATGAATACATCTTATTAGTTTCAGAATTCAGTAAAAATTTCAATCAAAAAGAACGCTTTCTTCTCAACATATTGAATATTGAAGAAATTCAATTTTCTAAACGCTTTCCATGCATATATATTGTTTATTTTTGAATAGTTTAATAGCTTTTGAAAAAAATATTCTGTGTGAATGCAATTTTAATTCAAGTCTTAGGCTGTAAGATGCATTGATAGACATAATCTAAAATCGAAATTCTGCCATTCTATTTTATCCAGAGGATGATGGTACGACTGAATTCGTTTTCAGCTGAATTCTCAGTATTTTTCGCATGCCCATGTAACCATTTTTTGAATCTAAACGCGTTTCCGATCGTTTATAGCTAATAGAGGTAGACGCGTTCTGACTAGAGAGCAGTGGGTTCAGACACGGACCCTACCGGGTTCAGACCCGTTAAGTGTTTCGCCAATATCTAGCACCCTCTGCGCATATGAACAAGTGAAGGCTCATGGATTTAGCTAATAATTGGGTACTCTCTGAATAAAAGTTTATGTAAAGCTATCTCGTGTTGTTCATTTTTGCATCATTCGATGTGATGCTCAATAATTAAAATTATACTGCTTAACTGTATAGAACATTATGCTAACCAGAAAAGGAAATTGAAGAATTAATTGATAATCAACACTCATCATTGAACACTGTTAAACCAAAAGTAACACAAAAGTCTTCAGACGTATGGAATTTCTTTTCTCATATCTATGTGAACAATGTGAAATAAGAATATGTTACCCTAGAGAAAGTACTGAGTTCAGGGTACCCATGTACTGAGAAAGCTCTAGCAGGGTACCCAATATGGGTACTTTGAAAATTCTCAGTAATTTTACTGGTGTATGTATGTACTGTTTGGGGTACCCGTAAATGTACATTCACTGAATAAGTATCTGCATGGATACACAAGTCTGTAGCTTTACTGAGGAAATCTCGACAGGGTATCCTAAAGGGTGTGGGTGTGGGGTGTGGGTGGGTGTGAGTGTGGGTGTGGGTGGCGGGTGTGGGTGTGGGATTGATAAGGGATAGATTTAACTCACAACCACAGCCCCACCCCCACACCCACACTCACACCCACACCCTTGCTTACTGCATGGTTTCGACTTGTCTATTCAGCAATTTTGGGAACTGCATTATTAAATTTCATTTTTATTGTATTATTATTGACTGGTGAAAATTACTTGTCTGTTTTCGAAATAAGTCAAGTAAATGCCTTGATAACTTTTTTTTTAAATGCATTTCATAATATTTGGTCAATTGGATTAATTGTTTTTGGATGTCATCTTTACATGCTTGGTTATGTCGTTCTCAAGTCTGGTTATATTCCAAAAATATTTGGTGTTTTATTAATCATTGCTTCTTTGTGTTACTTAGTCAACCATTCTGCTAATTTACTATTACTTAACTACGAAAAATATAAAGCAACAATTGAATTATTCATTAGCTTACCGATGATAGTTGGTGAATTGGGATTTGGTTTATGGCTTTTATTCAAAGGTGGTATATTATCTGACCATGACAATAATCCACAGAGAAAAAAAGATTGATCTGTAAATTTCATAAAAAACCTAAACACTTGTTCTTTGTAAATCGATTTTACTTGAAATAAATAAATGACTATATACATACTTAAGTAGATTATTAAGTAAAGTATTGCCAAACCTAGAACTTGAATTCAATTATTGAATATCTGCTGTCAGGTTCAGTACTAATATACTTAGTACATATGTGTGATGATATCGTTAATAAGCAGCATTTTGTGAATACATGACTAAGTGCATTTGATTGAGCCAGTCAAAAGTTAGTTCAATTTTACTATATGAAACTTTTCGTGTAATATATCGATTAATCTTCAGCGACTTCTGATGGGTCCTGTTAACTTTGATCATGACTTCAAGAATCAAGCAACATACGTCTGAAAATTTCTCGCTGATCAAAGTCCAATTTTATTCTAAATATGACCTCTGAATAGTTATCAATACTTTTTAAACAAGTGTGTCGCAGTTGAGATTAAAGAAATAGACTGCTTTCACTGTTCCTACAGTTGCTGAAAAAATAGTCAATGATATATATTTTAACTTTCCAATTCGATGGTTTTTAAACAATAATGGCTAAATGGAGTATAAAAGGATACATTTCCAGCATCCGAGCCCATTTCTTTCTTTTCCTATCACCCAAACACTACATTTAATCTTTTAAGAAAAGAACGATTTTTTAAAAAGTTTGATCAAAGGTTTTACTAGTCGAGAAATCCGAATCTGAAATCGGATTTACGAAATTTTGAGTTCGATTTTACCATAAAAATTATTTTGTACAAAAAAATAACTTTTTTCATCAAACTAGTTTTTCATAAAAATTTTTGTGGTAATATCGAACTCAAAATTTCAAAAATTCGATTTCGGATTCGGAGTTCTCGACCACTAAAACCTCTGTTCACACTTTACAAAAGAAATCGATCATTTGTTAAAAGAAGCTCTTCTTTTGTGAAAATATCTCTACTTTAATTACTTTGTTAAAGTATGCATGATGCTTACCTTGATAATAATGAAATGTCTGAGTACTAGAAAAGGAAAGAAATGAGCTCGTATGCTTCTTAAAATTGTTTTATTAACAATTTTTTAAAAACTTTTTTGCATTTAAAAATATTATGTAATTTCAAATAAAAATATTACTAAAGTGAAAACGTCACCTATGTCGACTTTTTTAGCAACTTCGATCGCATTGTGACTTGTAACTGTGAAATTTTTTACCGTAGTTTGATCGCAGTCGAATACATGGGTCCCATATATCTGTGATTAGAGTCTCATATAAAGTTGAATGAATTAGTTATACTCAGAAAAATACAACTAGATTTTATATGTTGATATTGGTGGTCTAAATTAAGGTTTTTTTATACTGGAATTTCGAATTTATTTTTCCAGAATATTTTATTCAACTTTTATAGAGTGCCAATAACCATCCCTAGCGAAAGTACTCAGTTCAGGATATCTAATATAGGTACTTCGAAAAATCTCAGTTATTTTACTGATGGGGGTATGGGACTGACTCTTGTCCTCTTCTACACCCCCCCCCCCCCCCCCCCCCCCCCCACATCCGCAAGGGTTATATGCGCGACAAAAAGTTAAACTAATACATGTAAAATGAAAGGAATAAATAATAATATAGTTCCAGATTGCATATAGATGTACAAGAGAACAAGAAACTAATAGCGTAGCTTCAAAAATCACACAGAAAAATAAAGAATATGAATGAATAATAAACAGAACAGAGGATATCGCAATCGTTTCACTCGAAGATAAGTAAAGAAGATGGATTATTACAATATGATTTCACACTTGTATATGATGTTGAGAAAATATCATCTATTGAAGTTATAGAATAGTCAATTGAATAGAAAGATGAAAATCTTTCACATCTATTCATGTCACTTGAGCTGGTGTTATTGATGACCAATGCAATTCGTAGGATAGATTAAGTGTTCTACAGAAGTCTCATCGTCATTATTCGTTCGTAATTTCACAGCTGATGAATATTTTGCAACATCTAATAATAAATCAAATGATCCAGTACCAATTTTAGCTAATTTTCCAAATGAAATATTTTCTAAAACACCCTTTAATAAATCATATTCTGAATGAGTAGCAGCTTCTATTAAAGCATCAACAGTTTCCTCAAATGAACATCGTATAATAGGTCCAACACTGAGTCTATTAACTCCATGTCTTGTAATAGGCATTAAATGTCCTTTAGTCGTCATAACATCACACAATAAAGCTAAATGTCTATGATTAACATAAGATCCATCAAATGAAATAACATAATTTATTTCATGTTCAATTGATTTTCTAGCAGCTTCAATTCCAAGAATATCAAATATTTCTACAATATCATTTGTATATGTTCGACGCGAATCAACATCTTTAGTTGATAAAACTTTTTTAAAAGCTGTTCCATCAGTTACTAGCATCCATTCAAAAATTTTATGAATTTCTCCATCATCATTAATTTGAATTCTTTGTTGTGAATCATCAAATATTGGACGAGCTATATAAACTTTTGATATACCTTCAATGCCTTGTAAGGTTAAATCAGTAAGACTTGACAGTTCTAAATACCGAAGAAAAGTATTATCATCCATACGAGTTATATCTTTTTGATCGTCTTGTGTCGATGATTTAACTTGATTAATGATACGTATTCTTAAAACAAGTTTTTCAGCATTATCATCATTATATATAACATTAAGACAATCACCAAAACCTTGTGAAATTTTTTTCGATATTTTTTCCATAGTTAATGTTCTATCAGTTATACGTTTTCTATCTAATTCAATTCTTAATAACCATTGTGAAAGATTTCCTATATCTTGATCAGGCATTTCATAATATGCATTAACCCATTCTTGATCTTCTGAAATAATTGTTTCTTGTGGATCAGGATCATAATAAATGGCTGTATTAGCAGTTATGTTCCTTAAATTACAATGTTCAAGACGATATAATACTTCTTTACATTTTTCAACATCATTTGTTGCTTGTCCAGTTAAATAAATAGTTAATGATGGTGTTTTAAGTTCTTTTGAAACATTGATTATTTCTTTAAGACGTGGAATACCTAATGTAACATTTTTAGCTGAAACACCACTATAATAAAATGCATTTAATGTCACTTGTGTAGTTGATTCTCCAATTGGTTGTGCAGCTAAAGCGCCAACCATTTCACCAGCTTGAACTTGTGCTTGTTGAAAACGTGTTTCAATTTCACTACAAAGCCAATTAAATGCTTCATTTGTTAAACGATGAAATTCAAGAACTTGACGAGATGATAATGATGAACGTAATAAGATATTCATTAACATTGTTGCATTATATTGGGCTTCACGTGATAAACGATCATCACCTTTTTTTACAATAAAAAACAAATATCCTTGTTTTTGCTATATTAGAAAAATTCTTACCTTTAACAACAATAAGATGTTGTGTTAATTTTTGTAAACCTTGAATAACTTGACTAGGTGATAAATTTGATTGTATTCGATTTGAAATAGAAAATTTTTTTTTTGCATTATAAATTAATCTTTCTAAATTACAAGGTAAAACAATTTTTGATGTATTACCGGTTGGAAATAGTTGTCTTAAATTATGTCGATCTTCATTTAATTGTTTCCATTCATCATCTAATAATTGTAATGATTCATCTGTATATAAATCTTTAATAACATCATCAGTTAAAAATTTTCTTAAATGTTTTTTTTCAGCTAATAAATCAAATTTACATAAACGTTCAAATAATTTATTTGATGGTTTTAATGATATAATTGATTGAAATTCAATATTTTCACCGGCAAGACCATCTTCACCATATGTAAATTGAATTATTTGTTCAATTTCATTTCTAACAGTACCATCATATTTAACCATAATAGATTCCATAGCTTTAATTAAACGTCGTTGTATATAACAAGTTTCAGCTGTTTGAACAGCTCTATCAACAAGACCTTCTCGTCCACCCATAGCATGAAAATAAAATTCAACTGGTGTTAAACCTTGTAAATATGAATTTTCAACAAAACCTTTAGCTTCAGGTCTATAATCATCTTTAGTAAAATGTGGCAATGTACGATGTTTAAAACCAGATGAAATACGTTTTTCTTCAACACTTTGTTGTCCAACACAAGCAATAACTTGTGCAATATTTATAGATGAACCTTTAGCACCACTAACAACCATAGCTTTAAATTGATTAAAATCAGATAAAGATCTTTGTGCTGATGAACCAGTACTATCTCGAGCACTATTCAAAAGACTATTAACTATATTTTCAAATGTTTGTCTTAAAGAATTTCCAGGTGTTCGTTCTAATGAAGTACGATGTGCTAGTTCAATAACTTTATTAACTTCATTTTTTGCTTTTTTAATTGTTGTTTGAATTGTTTCATATGTTTGTTGATCAACTATTGTATCAGCTATGCCAACTGAATGTCCTTCTAACATTAACCAATTGTTAACAACAAGTTGTATATGATAATATAATTGTCCAGCTATTTGATGACCACATTCCATAAAAACAATATGTCCTAATGAACCAGTTGATGTACCTAAAGTTTTTTTACATAATATACCTGATAATAAACGTCCATTTTCAATTAAAACTTTTGTATCACTAGGTGATATCCATTTATATGGTCCACTATCTTCATCATATGAATGTTGACTATTTGTACGTACACAATTAATTTCACGTGGAAGAATTAATGAAAATAATTGTTTACCAGTCCATAATGGTTTTGGTTTTAAAATAGTTGCTTGTGGTATATGTCCATCCCATGATGATATATGCATTAATAAATTCATAAAATCACTTTTTTCAATAAATACATCACGTTTAGTCATTTTCCAAACAGCTGTTAATGTATCTTGTACAATACTCATAACAGGTCGATGTGATTGTGGTGTTATTATTAAACGTGGTACCATCATTAATTCAGATAATTCAGCTTTAGCTTCAATTGATTGTGGTAAATGTAAATTCATCTCATCACCATCAAAACTAGCATTATATGGTGTTGTTACAGATAAATTTAAACGAAACGTTGACCATGGAAGAATTTTAACACGATGTGCCATCATTGACATTTTATGTAATGTTGGTTGACGATTAAGTACAACTAAATCATTATCCATCATAAATCTTTCAACAATATAACCCGATTGCAAATGCAAATCAGATGGTTTTGGATGAAGATGAAGATCAATTATTTCACCTGTATCTAATATTATACTTTTAGCTGCATCATGACAAATTAATTCGTGTAACCATTTTATATTAAATGGTGTTACAATTTCAGGTACAGTTAAATTTCGTGCTATTGTGCGTGGTACACCAACTTGATCAATTGATAAATTTGGATCTGGTGTTATTACTGTCCTCGCACTAAAATCAACTTGTTTAGCCATTAGATCTCCTCGAATTCGACCTGCTTTGCCTGAAAATTATAACACTTATACATATATATGAGATTGAGGAGTCGAATTGAATACCTCAACTATTTTTCATATCATGTAGCTTCTATAATACATTAGAGAATTATGATTTTCTTTTTATCAATGATAGTACTCGTATAATGCTGATGATCGGTCACCTTATTAAAATCTTTAAAAAATCTCTTACCAATTAGTTATGAATAAATTTTTTTAAAAGCTTTAAGTATTTTGTTTTTGAATAAGGTATAGATCCCTTGAACTTGATTAATCATCAACAATATACGAGTATTATCACTGTTAAAAAAATCATAATTCTCCAATGTATTATAGATGCTACATGATACGAAAAAACATAGTTGAGGCATCCAGTCAGACTGCTCAACCCTATATATATAGAGAGATAATAAAATAAAAGTGATGAACCTTCTAATCGTTCTTTTATAGATTTTAATGGTGTTCCACTTTTCTGACAAGATTTTGGTATTCCAGACTTATTATTATCAATTAAAGTTGCACAATGATATTGAAGATGTTGCAAATCTTCTTCAATGATATGTGAAGCTTCACCATGTTGTTCATGTTCACGTAAGATATTATTTGCTTTAATTATATATGCTAAGTTGTATGTCAAATCATCATGACAATGAGTTACATCATCAAATGATGATATTGATGGACGAACACACATAGGAGGAACTGGCAAAACAGTTAGAATCATCCAATCAGGTCGTGTTTGTTGAGGATTCATGCCGAGGATTTCACAAATTGGATCAGAAATTTTTTGAAATATTTCCAGAACACGTGCAGCTGATAATTTTGATCTCGTTCCTTCATTTTCATTTAATGTTTGTTTCCATTCAATTGTCAATTCTAAACCCGATCGACGATAAATTGGTTGTTTTCTTCCACAACCATCTGAAGTTTTAATTGTTACATGGTTTTCATTCTTGGTTCCTTCAATACAATAAAATAAAATAAAACTTTGAATTAAAACTCAAACCTTGACAAATCTTTTGTCCTTTACATGCATCAAAAACATAAGCAAGACGTCGACGATATTGTCCTTTTGTTTTTTTAATAATATCAATTATTTTTGAATCATTTGGATCGACCAATAGTTTCGAACAATGAAAACAAACACATCGTAAAATCTTCAATATTTTCAATAAAAAAACAATATTATATACGGGCTTGATCACTATTAGAGATCAATAGAATTTATCTATTTAGTTGACGCTAAAAACGGAAATGAAGAATAAAATTAAATACTGACATTCAATGTGACCAAAATGTCCAGGACATTCAACATAAGAACCAGCGCAAGTATGACATTTTGAATTTTGATCAGGTGGACCCTGTCGTGGATCCATAAGACCTTGAATTTTTGCTTTTCCTTCTTCCAATAAATCTACATATTCAATCGGTGGATCTGTTACCGACATTCGTCGAATTTCATCAGGAGATAAAATTCCGAATTGTATACGGTTCACATTACGATGTGGCACCATTGAATCAACTATTTGTGAATTTAAGTAAACCATTTCATTACTTTAAATTCAATAGTACAAATGCCACAATTACATTTAAATATGCATAATTTATATTACAACAATCTTAGTACTACGATAGAATCTTACCAATGACCAATGAACTCAATGAAACACGAAAATAGATTAAATTTTACTCTACACTTTCGCTTCTACGTTGAAATATCTCATATGAAACATGACACACAATAACACATCATTTACATCTCGACAGTTACGCAAGAACGATCAAACTTCGATTGGTCTCTTTCTTTACACCAAATCCATTGATATTTTTCGACAGATGGTGTTGCTCGTCACCAGACCTTCTCGACAGTACAACCATTCGATGCTCTATTTAGTGTCTATATTGAAAAAAACTATGACATTAAATCGCAATCATTTATCAATTTTTTTTTCAAGACTACTATGATTGATAGAAGTTGGTTTTTATTTAGAGATTCGAAACTATTTAGCATACTTTTGCACAAGTTTCCGATGTATAGGAAAATATTTTAGAAAACTAATTCGAAAAGTCCAGTTTCCATCATAGAACTTGGAAATTTCATCTTCCGTAAGAAATGTCTGAAAGCATTAAAATTACAAACTCTTAATTGTTTCGCTGTGATGATGATAACGTTTGTAGTATGTCAGTGCATTTTTGAGTCTCATGTTAAGATTTCAAAAATATTCTATAGGAAGGCTTCTTCTGTGAGAAATATCATACAGATTTAATCAAGCAATGATCTTTAATACTTTAAGGGTGTGGGTGTGGGTGGGTCTTGGTGTGCGGCCGGTTCATACTCGTAAGAAGATTGCATCCACACAAGTGCAGCGCACCCACAGGCGATTTTCCTGAACATTGATAGCAATGTTGAAAATTTCTTGATCAGTGTTGCCTCGTTTCAGCGTTCAAGGTCATTTTGGAATAATGTTTTCTTTTATGGAATTTGCTTGAAAGATAGTTGTCGATCTCGATCATATAGGAGAATGGAATTATTGTCAAGGAATATGGATAGAACACTTGGTACGTGTTCATGTGAAAAGTGTCTTGTCTGTCTTTTACGCAATGTGAATCAGATGTCTTTTAGAAAATACAGAATCATTTTTCTTTACGACATCTCCATCATTGTTAACATTTGCTGATTCCGCATCACTTCACCTACATATTGACTTTGTGCTGTTTGTCTTGGAAGTTGGAAAAAACCCAATGCTGACAGTCAACAACGCACGTCATTCTTCATTTTGTTATCGAATCCTTTCGACGCCAATGAAAGCAACTGCTCAAGTGTTCCTTGTGCAAGGCAGAGACATCAACTTTCTGCGAAAAGCAAAGAGAAGACATATCCCATGTCCTTTGAATCGGCTAAAAATTGCCGATTAATCCCGATTCATCGAAACGATAATCGTGAGCTGAATCGCGATAGAATCGCCGATTATTCCCGATTATTTCAGCGATTTTTACGATAAATCGTGATTTTATGCAAGATTTAACCGTCTGTTTACTGATATTTTCTACTATTTCATTGGTTCTTTTGGAGACACATATTTGGATTTTTTCTTGAATTTAATTCAATTTTTTTTGTTCTCAAGATCCAAGCCGATCAGATCGTGCGATCTGTCCGATCTCGAGCTGATCCGATTCTTATCAGACCGCTTCAGTGTAGTCCTCTCCAGATCATGGATCGGGATTGGTATTTCCTTGATTAAAAATAACCAAGAAATAATTTATCAGAAAAGTATATTTCGAAAACTTATTTGTTATGCATTGAACGGCGTTGTTTATATATCCGTGTGTGTTCATAACAAAACGGTGAATGAATAATTGTCATGATTTATCAATGATTTTTGAAAATCAGCTCTTGTCCCATAATCGCGATAAAATCTGATATAATCGTCGATCTTTTAAAGAAATACGATAAATCACGATTTTACGCCAATTTTTTAGAAAATCGCGAAAATCGCGGTGATTCTCACGACATGGGATGCATCAATCAAATAGTTCTCTCTGTATGAATGATGGATGCATTACAAAAGACACGATACATCCTTGTCTAAGAATTATAACACGAGGGTCTGCAGGATTCGGTTCGAGCTTTTCAAATGAATAAAATATTTAGAAAAGATTATGGATGTCGCATTCAAGATGTTCAACAAATTCTCTAAAAATCACATTCAAGTACAGTGCATGCCATCTGAGACAGAGTTCAGTTGAATGCAACGTCAGAATAACGATCAATCATCATCAGACTGTGTGCCGATATTGGATAGTGGTGTGACTCTTATGACTGTCCTTCGTACAGGAGTACTTGGCGGTTCGTCTTCTGTCGAACTCCCCTTATGAGTCATTTCCATATCATCGTTGTGGTGCAGGAGAATCGATTTACGACTAGTTCTCTGCGCAACACGAGGTGTCGACCACGAAGTGCGAAAACATGCTTCGACATATATCGATTGGGAATCATGTTCGCCGAGTGGAACAACTCGGCTTCAATCACTTTGCCATGCCGACATTCAAGTCTACGCTCGGTGCTGTCGAGAATCGATAGATACTATAGCTTTGTCTCGAGACAACCACCTTTAATAGAAGTGAATAGGATCATTTATCTCACTTGATGTTGGGTGTGGGTGTTGGTATGGGGTTCATGAAGCGAATTCACCCACACCCTTTTTAACATTTGATAAAATGAAACTAGAAATATCTCGTTCTTTTTATACTTTTATTTGACGTTATCAGAACTTTTGCTCAATCCTAAGTATTATAAATTTTACCTAAAAGAATGTTAGAATTAAATCCAAGGTAGAGTTGTTATATGCATTATTACAGACGACACAGTTTACTATTTATTCATGCAATAAACCTTTCAAAACTAAGTGTTTTATAAAATTTAAAATGTCGTGACCAGAACTTTGGGACCACCCTAAGTATATGAGCATGCGTTGCTGGAAGTGATTTTTCTAAGAGAACAAGGGCATTTGCTAGATATAAAAGTGCTTTCGGGTAGCCAGCCATACATTTTTATGTTTCATCCATGCTAGTGTAGGAATCACCCAATTAGGTAAAATTCGGAGGCAGAGCTTTTTCGCAGATTGGATGTGCTTTTTCTTGGAATTCAAGCGCTTTTGAGTAGTCACCCATGCTGTTATATACTAGACTGATGTTCTTGAAGGAATTAGCTAAAAACGGATGATTCGGAGGTAGAGTTTCTTCGTAAATTTTATGTGCTTTTGTGCAAAATTCAAGTGCTTTTGAGTAATCACCCATGTTCTTATAAACTTGAGCAATGCTGCTGTAGGAAGTAATTAATGAAGTATGATTCGGAGGCAGAGCATTTTCAGCGATTGTATATGCTTTTTCGTAGAGTTCAAGTGCTTTTGGGTAGTCTCCCATGATGCCACACACTAGACCAACGTTGTTGTAGAAAGTAGTCAATGAGGGATGATTCGAAGGCAGTGTTCTTTTGGCAATTGTATCTGCTTTTTCGTAGAACTCAAGTGCTTTTGAGTAGTTGCCTGTGTTGCTATACACTAGACCAATGTTATTGAAGGAAGCAGCCAGATCTGCATGATCCGGGGACAGAGCTTTTTCGTAAATTTGATGTGCTTTCTCGTGGAATTCAAGTGCTTTTGGGTAATCACTCATACTGTTGTACAGTAGACCAATGTTGTTGTAGGAAGTGGCCAAATCGGGATGATTCGAAGGCAAAGTTTCTTCGTAAATTTTATTCGCTTTTGTGTGAAATTCAAGTGCTTTTGGATAGTCACCCATCTTGTTATACACATGACCGATACTGCTGTAGGAAATAGTCAATGAAGGATGATTCGAAAGTAGAGCATTTTCTGCGATTTTATATGCTTTTTCGTAGAATTCAAGTGATTTTCGGTAGTCACCCATGGTGCCACACACTAAACCGATGTTGTTGTAGAACGTAGCTAATGAGGGATGATTCTGAGGCAGAGCTTCTGCAGCGATTTTATGTGCTTTTTCGTAGAATACAAGTGCTTTTGGGTAATCACCCATGCTGTTGTACAGTAGGCCGATGTTGTTGCAGGAATTGGCCAATTCCAAATGATTTGGAGGCAGAGTTTCTTCGCAAATTTGATGTGCTTTTGTATGGAATTCGAGTGCTTTTTCGTAGTCACCAATGCTGCCATACAGTCGACCAATATTGTTGTAGAAAGTAGCCAAATCTGGATGATTCGATGTTAGAGTCTTTTCGGCGATTGTATTTGCTTTTTCGTAGAATTCAAGTGCTTTTGAGTAGTCGCCCATGGTGTCACATACTAGACCCATGTTGTTGTAGGAAGCACTCAATGAAGGATGACTCTGAGGCAGAGCTTTCGTGTAGATTTGATGTGCTTTTTTGTGGAATTCAAATGCTTTTGAGTAGTCACCCTTGCTGTTATATACTAGACCGATGTTGTTGTAGGAAGTGGCCAAATCGGGATGATTCGAAGGCAGAGCTTTTTCGTAGATTTCATGTGCTTTTTCGTAGAATTCAAGTGCTTTTGAGTAGTCACTCATCTTATTATAAACTTCACCGATGTTGATGTAGGACTCAGCTAAATCCGGATGATTCGGAGGCAGAGATGTTTCTCTTATTATAAGTGCTTCATCGACGAATTCAAGTGCTTTGTAGTAGTCACCCATGTTTTTATATGCTAGACCGATGCTGCTGTAGTTTTCGGCTAATAAAGTATCATGTTTCGGAACAGTTTTGTTGCAAATTACGAGCGATTTCTGATGCAACATAATTGCTTCTTGGTATTGTCCTTGGCCATATTTCACACATCCAAGATGCTTATAGATATATGCTTTGTCATTGTCGTTTGAAGCATTCTTGAGTAGTTCATTGTAGAGCTCTTCAGCTTGAGCACAGTGACCCAATTTAAGCATAAGTAGACCCATCCGATCCCAGCCCGTACCCTTGATCTCCTGTTGCATGCGTTGCGTGAGAGCCATCAGTTGTGGATCGCTGTCATCGGTGAAAATCAATTGAACTTCCCATAGACGACTATTGTTGGTTGTCTGTTTGATTTCATCAACACGAAAAATAGTATTCATTGAAAAAAGAATTTCTTTTTCGCTTTTAATAGCACTATATTTATCGATCAGAGCAAATGGAGCTTTTGAAGCGGATACTTTACTCGGATCGACTGTGATGATGAAGAATACACCAGCAATGTCTTTATTTTTGTGCATCACACGTTGAACAAATTGCATGGCTACTTTTTTTTTTCTAGTCGTAGACAAGAAATTATTGAATGAGAGAAGTCCTCCTTTCGAATCACACAGATTTTGAAGGTCTTGTTGAGTGAGTGCCTGACCACGATAAACGATAAATTGTTGCTTATATTCTTGTGCCTGTTTTTCATGGAGCTTCTCTAATTGTTGATGAAGACTGCGAATGAAAAAGCCCATTTTTGCCATGATTTCCATGTCAAGAGACCGTAGTGCATGGTTGAGCATGCTGTACAGAAAAATGTCACAAGTATACCACCAGATTGTCGTTTTTTGGTGATATTTACGCTGAAAGTGTGCCAGTTGGGATTCAGGAATACCTTTGCTGCGACAATAGGCCACTAGATCTTCGACCGGTTTTGCATCATCTTGATCGATTTCCAATAGGATCTCTTTGAATAATACTGAATACATGTAGGACGGCTCCAATTGGTTGAGACGTTCTGAATCCGATGCTGCTGGTTCTGCGGTCATTATGTGCTTCGGAACAAAGTTCATCGAAATGGCATCGTAATCGCATTGGCGGGCTGCTTTTTTTAATGACTCACATATGGGCTTAATTGAGGTGAAAACACCTTGAATCTTTGACCATTCCTTTGCCCATTGTTCATGGCGTCCTTTGTTACTACAAAAGATGTAAATGGTATCTAATTGTGCCATCCCATGAATAGTTGGTACGAGATGCTGACCTAAAGCTCCAGAAGAGATGACGAATGCTTTCTCATCATCTATATCATTGAGAAATTGAATACACTGTGCCGACGTTGTGCAAATGTGAAGCTCGTTGACGATACTGCGTAGTTGCTTGAGCGTATTTTGACAATCTTTATGTTCTTGATCAATATTACCATCAACCCAAATAAGAAAATAATTTTGAATCATGTTCCGTCTTGGTTGGATGGTATTCGATGATGTCGTTGAAGTTGCAGCGGCACCCATTGGTGGTGTAGGGATTTTTTGCTTAGAGTTTTTCCCACCCATATTGAAAGATGGTTTTGTTTTCGTTGCTACTAAGTAATAAACTTCATACAGTTAAAATTAGAGATATGGCTGTGAACCAGAAACAAGATAGAAAATAAATCTCGCAACGTCGGTGATAGTGTTGCTATTCTTTCCAAGTTTTATTAGCATTTCATTCTCATAATTACTTGAGTGTCACTCTGTTGGATAGTTTATGGATATGAGTACCGATGTACGTGAAACGATACACATCAACACGAACATTCACACCATACTATTTTAAAAGATTTTCGGAAGTATATTTTCAAAATGGCATCAAAAATTGACTTGCTGAATACTTAAGCTATACGTTTCTTCTCAATTTTCTTCAGAAAGGCTTTCAATAAAGGGCTACAGTAGATTTAGGTGGTAAGTCTTTTAATAACAAGCCTTGCTTGAATAAAACAAGTTTAAATGAGTTATACTGAAAACTAAGGAGACTGTGATACCTTTTGCCGCATTTGTTACACGGCAATTCTTAATGATTGTCGCATTGCACAGATCGATTTGCAAATAGTACATGATTCAGAAGCAATAGCAATATACCGAAATTCTCTATGACGTAATGACATACACATAAAAATATTAGAACAGTAGAAAATACCTGCACTCTGCTTCTAGCAATAAGCTCAAGCCATCTGATGGGATTTATCTCACCACTCTGATTGATTTAGAATACTTCTACGACTTTTTAATAAGGTTCTATCCGCTCGACTTTATCTGCTTAAATGTCCATTCTCACACATGCTAATTTCACAGAGGTATTGTTCTAGAAAGAAAAGCATGTCAAACGATGAAATTCATTTTAAGTCTGCAATTACTCTAGGATCGATGCTAGGGATGTCAGAGTTCGTGGTCTTTTGGGTTTTGCTCCTAGGAAACGGAAAGCCACTTGAAATTTCTCTTCAACGCATTGCTGAGCATTCAGAGGTGTTTAGACATACCTATTCTTTCTATTTATAGCAAGTGACCATGGATTGTCGGGTTCGTAGGAACGGAACCTGAAACTGACACTCCGAATAGCTGGTCATACAAAAGAACGAATAGGGTGCCTTTTGTTGACCAATTCCACTAGTCGTTGTATTGGAATAGCCGTGAAGCTTCTTCAGTTCTTTGAATAAAGAATGTTTTACTTTGATGTTCAGATCTTAGATTTTAATTGAGTTCGTCGAGGTTAAAAAGTGTTCTTCACTGCTTCTACATTATTCAAAAATTTCTATTAAAATTCTTGAATTTGCTGCCATTTTAGCTTAAAAGTATGATTCGTGTCTTATACCACTATGATTCTGATTGATATCTAAGCATTTTCAAAGTCATCTTGTTTGACATGCTTGCTTGTATGACAATTTTACGTATCGAACCTACTTCAATCTAAATTATCGATTCCATACACTGAGCATTCTCAATTGAAGCTTTCTTAAACTCACTTTCTGATGATTGAATGTCTAATTTCTATCTTCTTTCATATTTTGCTGTTTATAGTATACTTTTGACCATCAATTTTAGTTTATCATCAATCTAATAATATTGAAAGTCAAACATACTTACATGCTAAGTGATACCGCAGTGTATGAGTTTGTTTTGTGTGTTTGTAACCAGTTTTGCTTCGTATTTATCGATGAAGAACTTAATTGATTTTTTCCAAATTATGCTTTTTTACTGAATCAATCAACCATGACATTGTCACGACGTTGGCAATTTCTTTCATTATATACTCATATCGTCCGTGTTTCGTTCTTCGATTATTCTTTCACTTCCTTTAATGTCGACGAAATTATTTGGTTTCTTTCAAATTATGTTTTTTTTTACGTGAATCAATCAACCATGATATTTTCATCACGTTGACAATTTTTGTCATGCTACATTCGTCATCGCTTGTATTTCGTTTTTCCTATACTGTTACTCTTTTCTTGCGGGTATGGGTGTGGGTGTGGATGCAGAAATTTATTTAACCACACCAACACATCCACACTCCAAAACTTTATTGCTTTTCCTAAAATATTGAGCTTGCACTGCCCAGGCAACTGATTATGTGTACATGTGAGAAAAAGTTGTTCAGAAAAAATTTTGATAAAAAAGTTGTATCTGATTTACAGCCAAAAATTTGAATTTCTGAGATATAATGGGCGCTTTTCGTTAGAAGTAACCTTTCAACCACTTTTGTGCATAAATTTAACGGAATTGGGCAGAAAACGAATAAAAAAGTGGAAAAAAAATGGAAATGTCCAAAAAATAGACAAAAACACGATTTTTTTGTGTGTTTTTTGAAATAAGCGTAAAAAACGCACAAAATTCAACTAAAAGTTGCTACTTTTGTTCAAAAAACGTCAAAAATCGACATATCTGACTGCTTGGGTAGGCGTCTTCGAAACGTATATAAAGATGCATCCTCCGTGTGTTCTTTCTCACTCATTCGATCTGTGTGTTTCTAAGCAATAAACAATGGAAATCATCAAAAATTTTGACAAAAAAAGAACTGCGGGATGCTAATTTTAAAAATCATATTGTTTCTGAAAGATCAGAACTCAGACTATCTTCTCATGCATTTATTTTAATTCTCATCTTTTTGGCGAAAATTAATATTTCGAAGGCAAGGATAGCATCAATTGATTTTTTTATTTTAGTCGGATTTTTGACGTAATTGCATTATCTCACTTTGGAACAATTTACATCGGAGTTCTAATTTGAGCTTACTTGTCTGACATTAGTTCGATGAGAAGTTCATGGATTGTTAGTGCATGAAATTCGGCAAGACGATGCAAAAACTAAAGGTTTCACGTTCAAATCTTGTGCAAACCCTAGTTTTCGATATCTATGATTAAAATCAACTAGTAGCTATAACTTGATTGAAGCATATTAACATGCAATCTTAAATTTTAAAAAGATTTTCTTGAATAGTAGTTTATTTACTATATAAATTTAGAACATTTACTACAATAAAATCGATTTTAACTAATTTGATATAAAATTAATGAATTTAATTAATAAAATTAAAATTATATTCGTTTATCTTTTAAGTTTTATTTTCATCGTAAATTAATTTTCTATCAAATTAGTTAGACAATAGGTGCACTGTAATTAATATTGAAATTCATTCGGTAAGCAAAAGAAAGAAATTTATTGATTAACAAAAGCATTAAAGTTGTTTACGTGAAGACGAAACCTTTTTTTGTATTCGACTTTGATAGACACATACGAGCGGTAGTACAAATAATTCGGATAGTGTGACCAACACTGTATTTGTATTATAGCCTACCGTGATTAAACCCCATAAACGTCCTAGTCCACCGATAAATATAAGTAGTGTAACACGACGTAAATCACGACCATCATGTTCAATATTAGGCAAGCTGCGTAATAATAGTATTGCCATGGCAAGAGGGAGGCCTGACAAGTAGCGAAAATGGCTATCCAACGGAATAGTACAACGAATAGCTTTTTCGAGCATCGCAGGGCCTTTAATAATCCCTGATAGACCATTACTAAGTGGAACAAGTGCAGTGAGACCAACAGCGATTTTCAAACCAAAACGTTCAAGAGTAGTTGCCATTGTATTTATCTAGTACGTCACCACGAGTCTAATATGATGAATCAATCAACAATATCTCTTATCATTATCACTTTTCATTGGTCGTCAGAAATAAGCCAAACGCAACGTAATTCATACATGAGTCAACGCGTCCATATTATATCCCATAGAGACGCCTCACATAAAAGAGCTAGATGACACTAATTGTAAATGACATCTTTCGCTTGAAACGTAATAGAGATGTGAGTACAAACTAAAGGACGATTGACACATCATCATGGAGGCACATGTAATTTTGTAAATAGCGAATGTTTTCGGCTTGGTACTTTAGATCAAGCAAATCACACCAACTACTCATGTCATTGTATGTGGGTAGGAAGAGAAAAAAAGACGATTGAATCATTTCTCTAATCAATTAAGAGAATGACAAGAGAAAGAAAACGTGACAGATAATGTGCAGAAACAGATCAAGAACTAATCATCCCAGAAAAGGGCAATTTCATCAATAACTAAAATTCCGTAGAGCTTGCACTGAAAGCTTAAGGCGTCTTGGACAAGCTATATCCTTGGGAACCAAATCGACAAAAAAAAACACTTTTTAATACACTGTTTAATTCACAAGTTGTTGTCTCAAATAAAAATCGAACTGATGGGAGTTGAAAAAAGTAAGAAAACGTTAACTATTATAACAAGTAGCGTGTATCGACTGTTGGTACACCTCACCTTAGACTGATAAAATTGAAATATCTATATAGGAATATATCTAGATTTGAATACGCTTCAAGAAAGGTACTAGACAAATGTCTGAGATAACTCGATATGCACTGACGAAACGTTTTGCACAACTAATTTTTTCATATTATACAACTTGGTTTTTATTTTTATAAAAAAATCGATCCTTAGTATGCCACTTGTTCTTTCATAAGGTTCGTAACATTGGTTTTCTGTTTTAAATGATAGTTAAGTATAGTGGGTGTGGGTGTGGATGAAGAACCGACTTCTACACTCACCCACACCCACACCCACCCATTCGGTTAGCTGAAACTCCAGCATGGTTAGAGTTTTAATATACTTATTAGTATCAGAGTTGGAAATATTTTACTTGTTTGAACTGCTACATTATATTCGAGTTTTTGATGTAGATAAACAACAAACTCAATTCACAATCGACGCAGTTTCATTGATTTCAATCTATAAAATGTTGACGATTACCAAACTTTCATCCAGAAGCTAGAATAGTCAGATGATCACTATCAACATTAATATCTTCCATTTGAACCTGAAAATGGACAATATCTCTGAATCTGTCATACTTAGCTTTCAAAAATAAATTTGCCGTCCCTGTTTTAACATACCTATTTGATTTAACAACCTACATCGAAACAAAACATTCTATATACACTATCCTTATTTAAACTGACTCCCACTTTTCTCAAGCAATTCACACAGCACACATTTCCTTTCATATGAACGAATCCACGTAGTCTAAGTTCTGATTTCACCCCATACATACTCCGAAACAGTTTAGCCATTCATCGAAATCAATAAATCGTTTCCTTCTCTCAGGATACCCATCACCCCTTCAGCAAAGTATAGTTATCCTAGGTTCATAGGTCATGGAAGGTATAAAAATTCGGATTTTCGACAATTCCGCTAATCTGCTTTGTCAGGAATTTCCTAAAATTCTTCTTATTCCAAAATTCTGAGTAGCTCAATTACTCGTTATTTCTATTTTTCTAAAATTCTGATAATACTGATTATCCTAGAATTCCAATCATTCTAAAATTCTGATTATTGTAAAATTTTGAATATTCGAAATATCTGAGTATTGTGTGGTTCCCATTATTCTAGCTTTTGTATAATTTTAATGATTCCAGAATTCTTACTTATGCAGAATTCGATCTACTCTGAGTATTTCAGAATTTCGTTAGTGCCGATTATTCTGAAATTCAGTTTTTTTTGCAAGATTGATTACGTTATACATCGAAAGCAATTGGTTGCACGTATGACCTCGAGCCGTTTAGAATTCTAATAAAATTCAGGAATGTTGGAATAGGACCAGTACTGAAAGAAGGAGAGAATGCATAATGTATAACGTAGGTTAGAAATAAATTCTAAACTATTCAGTAAACTAGCTTTCATTTATTATAAACTTGAGCTTTAGATAATTTGTGACTACGGTTGTATCTTTGCAGAAATTTTTTCCAATGGTATAATGGTACATGTTTTCAAAAGGTAACTATTATCGACTTGTGTTGGTCTATTAATTTATCTAATAGAAGCATTACCTGAACTTGTTACATAGAAGCTTCATTCTTGATTATCATCATAAAAACGAAATTTATATGAGGAACAAGTAAATATGTCTTTCTCAGTATTGAATACAAATAAACTTACGAAAGCTTATCTTTAAAAAATGATCAATAACTTCTATGATCGTCTTTATTCCTTATGTTTTCGTATTCCAATAGTAGATGATGAAATAGTACAAAAGCTAGAAAAAATGATCGACCATGAAAAACTTCTTGTTGATTGTATAATTAAACGTGTTCGTGACAGTATCCATCTATAACAGAGAAGATTATTATAGACTTTGTATTTCTATTTTATAAAATTGATGAACAAATAAAGTGAAATTTTTAACTTACTGAAATTTGGATAAATAAAAATTTGTATTATAGCTTCAAACGATATCATAGACTGATATTCAGAAGTTCAAACGGTATGAATTGATGAAGTAACTTCTGTCAAATTTACAAATTTATTTGATTATATATTAGGTTAAGAGTGTCCTACAACCTCTTTTCGACCGTATCTGGTTCTCAGTCATAGTGCAATTGATTGGACTGAAATTTTTACCACAGACAGAGCATCGCATATAAGCAGTCCCATATTTGAGAAAAAAGTTTCCAAATAAATTCTTCAGGGATTTTCAGCGGTGGGTTCTTTTTCATTGTGTCTGCTTCCGAGTCCTCCTAGATTTGTCCGATCGGGCTGAAATTTTTTCCGTCGATAGCCAAATCTTTTTTTTTAAATCTTAATTCTTTCTGTTTTTATTTACAAAATACCCGGAACACATCTGAAATATCGACTTTGTTGCTAGGACGTCGCATATTTTTTACATAAAAACCGAAGGAATTGAGATTTTTGAAAAAACTCGATTTTACTTCTGTAAAAGTCTCTTGTCTATCTACAGAAGAACTTTCAGACCGACCAGACAAAATTGGAAGGACTCGCAAGCAGACACGATGAAAAAGAACCCACCGCTGAAAATCCCTGAAGAATTTATTTGAAAACTATTTTCTCAAATATGGGACTGCTTATTTTCGATGCTCTATGTCTGGTAAAAATTTCAGCCCAATCAATTGTACTGTGATTGAGAACCAGATAAGGTTAAAAAGAGAGAGTACCCTTAAATGACTACTATACTTTGTTTGTGTTCTCTGTCTATGGTTTTTTTCTCGAGTGTTGAACTCGACGAGTTGTTCTTCTTTTCTTTGAACAGTATATTAAAGCATATTCGAAGTCAAGAATTCGTTTCATAAACAAATTCACTTTAGATTGAAAAATATTCATGAATGAACTTAAACGAAAATTAAATTCTAATAATTTCTCAGAAGAAATAATAAAGAAAATGCGCAGAAAGTTATTCGCCTGATGAATATAAAGGCATTGGTTCTTTTTTGATTGATATAGATGAATTCGATCGATTCATGACTTGTTTTCAAGATCTATCAAATCAATTATTATTGGAAATATTTCATTATCTTAAGGGATATGGATTATACAAAACATTTTCAACTCTTAATTCTCGTTTTGAACAGCCTCTTCATTTTTTATCTGTATTATTTAAAACTCATTTTCGTTTATTTACAAATGATGAATTTATGAATATGTTTAAACAATTTATGCTTCCCTAATCGACATCAAATATTTTCTATACATGTGAATTTTATATTACAAGATAGTTATTGTTCTTATTCGATTCATCGTTTGGTCGTTTTCAATCTATTTTTTAAAGACATTCAATCTGATATAGAATATCTACTGCAGAATAAAACATTTTCATTGCTTATTCGACTTTGTCAATGTCTTGGTTTGTTTTTTTTTATGTTACCAAGTAATAAAATAACTCGATTATTTATGAGGAAATAAAAAATTTTTATTAATCCAAAAAGATTTTATTTTATTTATTAAATAAATTATAGAAGAAAAAATAGATGTTGTCTTTGATTCATTTTCATTTTAAACAAACATTATAGAATACACGTTTAATTTTAAAAGGAGATAGATTTTCACATTTAATCGTTTTTTAAATATCTTTAAGTATTCAATCACCTGCTGTTGGAATATGGCGACATAATGAATCAAGACGATGATCAATATTATGTTTAATTTTCTTGAAAATAGTACGAAAACAGAATTGAATATCCATCGAACTTATAAATCCAACTTTAAAATATTTCATATATGGGCAAAGCATGAAAAAATAAAATCAACTTGTTCAATAACAAGAATCTATTCAAGATAGACCTTGGTAATTTTACTTGTCTCTTTCATTAAACATAAAATATGAAGTTCTTTAAAAGTTAATTCTGTTGTTTCGTCTGTTGATAATGAATGAATTTTTAATGTAATCATTTGTGATAATAAATTAAGAATTTGAATCAATATAGGAATTGAGATTTCTTTTTCGAAAATGTCCATATGATAAATCTTTGTTATTGTTCAATTTCCCTAAGTATAGAATCATAAAGAAATTTTAATGTCAAATTAGTTGAATAATTAATTATATTATTATTTATATCATCATACCACTTTTTACTAAAAAAAAGAAATAAAATTATTGATTTTATTTACAGTTTGTATTCATTGATATACTTGTATGAACGAATTTTATATTCAATATTTATAAATTTAATTTCAACATAGAATATGGACTTTCGTTCAATCCAACATGATGACGAAAATTCATTTATTTTTCCACAATAAATTGGATTATAGATTGCCATTATTTATAGATTCATAATAATTCAAATAGAATTTATCTAATTTGAGGATAATAATTTAAAATTATTATTTCCCATCGATGAGCAGCAAGAAAATCGATATTTTTTGAAAAACTAATAGATAAAATTTTCAAATTTGAATATATTTTAATTGAAAATATTTCTAATTGATTAAATGTGGTTATTATTTTTTCTTGATAATGAAATTAAACAAATGAGTTTTAATTAAAAGTAATGAAGAATGACGAAGTTTATTAAATTAAGAATTAAAATTGGAATATTTTTCAACTATTTCATCACCATTGAAATAATAAAAAATTTCATTTGAGAAATCTTCTACAGAAGGTATTGGTTGATTTATTACAATTAAAATATCAATAAACTTATTTTTACTAGGTAAATTACTTGCTTTCAAATATCTTGCTTATTTTCTTCTAATGATTCATTTAAAACTATTTTTTGTTCAAGTTTATTCATATCTATTCTATCCATATCCTAAACAAAATTTTTTTTTCGACTATTCCAATATTTTCAATTGACTTTTATACGATAACGAAACAAAAGAGGAAAAGAAAAACGAAATATACGATAATAAGATCAATTTCAGACGAACAAAAAAGGAGTGAATGATATTGACTAATTATTTTGTCAATTTGAAATAAAATGATCAGTCTAATGATTAACAATTTAATGAATATTTTTCAAATCCATAATTTACATGTGTTTATGAAACAGATTTTTATTAATACATGATTATGATAGAATAAGAAAACGTATTTGAATATTTTCAAGATATTATCAACAGAAGGATCAACAATGTTTATTATAATCATTTCCCTTCTAAATGTATCTTATTATATTAACTTTCAATTATATATTCAGGGAGGAATTGTCGTTACATATGACTATTTTGTCTTATTTTTCAACAATTTGATTATTAACTAAACAAATACAAAATTATAAACAACAGAGTTTATGATTTATATGATTCAGAATACAAATTAAAATCTCTTTGACAAATATTTCAATATCAATATGATTAATAACATTGAAAATCGCCACACGTTGCTATATAGAAATACTAATGCACTGGCTATAAACGACTAGTGGCTCATTCTTCATGGTTTATTCGACCCCGTCCTTTATTTTATAAGGTAGTTCAACGTATGTTTTCTGAAAGAAAATGACTTGAGCATTACTTACAGGAATTTTAATTATCAATAGAAGTTCATTTTTAATGAGTTTTTTTTGGGGAACAAAACTTAGACCGCCTGGTGAGAAATCTTTTATGAAACGGACTATTTATCGACTCTGGTTACATATCTGATACTGACTATCTTAAGATATGAGTTGTGGATTGAAGCAGTCTGAGTCAAGTTCGTAAATTAATGACATGATGGGTTCTAGTTGCAGATATAAATGATTCGCTTAATTTAAAAGTTATTTTATCTTTCTCTGGAAAGATTATCAATAAAGAAAAAATTCTTCTTACAGTTTGTATTTCATTTACTCGACAAGTTTTTTGCCCTTCATATAACGGATAAAATATATATTGTAAAAGTAATTGCACAAATCTCTGTTCTTATTTGCCTTCAATGAGATATTATTTTTTAACCAGAAGATAAAGCTTTTTCTCGTCGTTCAAACCGTATAAAACTTATTTTTTTTTGACAGGTTCACAAATGAAATGACGTAAGAGAAAAGAGAAGCATTTTTTCTGTAAAAATGTCGATCTTTGTGTCTTTTTGATAAGTAGGGTCTGAGAAGAATATCATTTACTATGGAACAGTGTACCATTTATATTTGTGAGACATTGGCTAATGAAATGAGACAAGAAAAAAAAAAGAAAAATACGGGCACAATAGATAATTTTTCGATGAACACGTCGAAAAACTCTTGTAAAACGACAGTTGATAGTTAATTGTCATCTACAAAATATTTTTGACGACTCCATATGAAAACTGAAAATTAATTGTCTGAGTGTTTTTCTTCTTTGGTCTCGTTTCATTAATAAGTGTAAGACAAATATGAATCATAGAGTGTTCGCTTTAGGAGAATATTTTCTATCAGCTCGTGACAAAAAAAGAATATTTTTCAAGAATCTGTTTATCAAAGAGATATATAAGGGTCGACATTTTTATAGGAAAAAAGTGCTTCTCTCGCCTCTTGCGTCCTTTTATTTATTAATGTGTCAGAAAAAACAAGTTGTATAGGATTCGAACGAGAAGAAAGGATTGTATCTTATGATAAAGAAACTTTTTTTAGCATCGTTTTATCGAAGATAAATAAAGGTTGAAGATTGTCCGATTGGTTTTCGAAAATATTATTTTCCTTTGAAATAAAGTCTTTATTGATAATAGTACAATAATATTCTTTTTTTTCTATTAAACTTTCCGAATATATATTTTAACCGATAAGAAACTCTATTGATGGGAATTTATTTAAAAAATAAAATTATTGTATACTTATTAGAATCTTCCAATTCACAACTAGGCGATTTAACAATAATCAGAAAAAAACTACATAATCATTAACTTAGTTTGTTTTCTTAAATGACTATGAATTCGTACTAAATTCATTCATTTAATCGATACAATTAATTATCATTCAAAGAGGAATTCACGATTATGACATCTGCTCTGCTATATTTTAAATTGAGACTCCTTTATAGATAAGATCAACGAAAATAAATCAACAATGAAAAAGTAATTCATGAAGGAGTTATGGTAACGAAATATACGTCTTGTCTACTTTAGAAAGCTGATGAATGAATCGAATAATCTCTATGAAATAATGATTTTGAAATGAACGGATAGCATATATTTCTCAGTTTTGACTTTCGAAAATTGTCGAACGTCAACTGTGAAATGTATAATTATGGAAGAAAATTTCGAATAGAAAAAAGTTAACTTCATTGAAGGTATCAAGTTGGCTAAATTTCGTTTTTTGCACACAACAACATAATAAAACTGATCGTCTTGTGATAATTTAATTAAATATCAAATAAACATACATGCAGAAATAACTGACTATCGTTTATTTTATTTCTAACATAGTAAAAGCAACAACAATAATATTTGACAAAATGACTATCAAAACAGACATTGACTTACATCAAAGATTACAAGAGAAAAAAGACAAATATGCAAATTTTAGATACAATTTAGATGATTTCGATGAATTAATAATTTTTTGTATAAAGAAAAATGGACATACATTCATTTATATCAATTGATATGGATAGTTTTCTTTGTGAAGAATTATAGAATTTGTTTGTTAACTCAAATAATAATTTGTTCATGTCGATTATGATGATTAAACAAGGACAACACCATATGTTTGTAGATAATGAATGCATTTTCGACTTCGATTCTATGATGATCCACTTTTACATTGATTATCATTGATCTAAACAATAAGGATATGAATAGATATTAGTTTAAAACACTTTATTCGAAAATAAGAAATGGCAAGTTGATATTCAATGAATATAATCAATAGTTAATTTACATAAGAAAAGCAATCCTATCAATCAGATTCGAAGTACAAACACGTATTCTTTATAAGAAGTCTGATATTTAATGAACAGTATTGATAACATCACAGTAATCAGTATATCAATACTGAACATCTTTAATATCGATATAACAAAAGAATCTAATCAAATTTATTCATATCCAATTAAGAGTAAATCGCTTGAAAATCTACAAATGATTTTCATCAATGCTATTTCATTTTCTCATGAAGTAGCAAACGTTTCTCACTCACTCGATTTCCTGAAAATATTTTTCGATTATCATTCAGTTTGATAAATCGATAACTAACCAAATATTTTCATTCAGATTATACGATTAGCGGGAAGAAGCGCGAAGTTTTTTGTCCTCGCTATTTTTTTTTCTTGTGTTATAGCTTTCTTCCTGAAAATTTTACGAACACCCTAGGTGGAAAAAACTTATGACAGATCCGATAGAAATCCGGGAGTCGAAATCACTGACGGATCTGCCTGTCGGAACTAATACACTTCCAATTATTTCCTGCGTCGGATCGTCTGTTATCTTGACTGTCGGGTTCTGATAGGGTTTCTATAGAGCGCAAAAGTTCAATGGATTTCTTCTGTTGCAACTGAGCGAACTGAATGGCAATTTTTTATATTTTGGTAAGCCCGATAAACTATGCACAAGCGACCTTGCTGTTTTCTCTGATACAAATAGCGTTCTCTTAATATCATAAGGAGAATTAATTGCTGTATCATATCTGAACTATTTTCTCTTTCAATATGAGCCATTTTCTCTTTGAATCTAGACTACTTTTTGTTTAAATCTGAATTGTTTTCACTCTTGATGTGAACTACTTTCTCCTTCATTTTGATCTACTTCTAATTGGACTTTTCGAAGAAAATATGAGTCTTTTTAAAGAACACAGGAACGACTTAATACTTTACACGACACTGCTGATTTGAAGATTTTTGCTCTGAATATAAAATATATCATATTAATACTAAAAATATGTCTAGTTTAAAACGGACTTGAGGGTGTGAATGAAGAGAGAAGAAACACCCACACCCACATCTTAGACCATTAATCAATCAGCTCAATATATTAAAGTGATAGTACTACTTAAAGATACTTCGATAATGACCGATTTTTGCTTTCTTTAAGTGTTTTTATGTTGATGATGTCTAAATGTTGATGAATAGTTGATTATTCTAGATCTTTCATGCAGTTCTCTGCTTAAAACAAATCTGGTACTCTATGTCTAATGAAATTTTTCTCTTCTAAATCAGTGATTTTCAACTCTAATAGGACGAACATCTACTTTTGTAAGTGATTCAGCATAGTCATCAGTATTAACATTGAATAAGATGACACTGATAATCGGTAACAGGTGATAATTATTTTAGATAGACTTTAACTTCTTCTAACGGATAAACCATAATCCTGTTCAGAAAACAATCTGTGATATCAATTATTTCTTACTGTAATCAGAATCTGCTGAGTTATTAA